GCTGTAATTTCGGAAATTTCAGATTGCAAATACTATGCGATCATCTAATAAATGAATCAAATCTATTAGATATAAATAATATTTAGATGGTATTTATATTTAGATGGTCAACGCGGTGGATAATGGGAACCATATTTCACCCTAATTAATTTTTAAAAATATAGGAAATTCAATCCCTGTTATAGCTAATGATAAAAAAAATTTATGAAAGAGAACAGACATCATATAGGATTTTCATTGAATATCCATTTGAATTTTTAATTTTGCATCATTATTGATTCAATGATGATCCAACAGGTCATGCCAATCAAATTGAACTTCTAGTTCAATATAAGATATAATTCAGTTATTTAATATTGAAGAATATGATTAAACATTATATAATCATATAATTATCAATGTCCATATGACATAAGTCGTTTATTTTCTTTTAGGGATAAAAACAAATTCTTAAATTGCACGTGATATATTCTTCAAAATATGTGCTATTTGAAGAGCGCGTTGCATTTTATTATCGCTTCTTTAAGAACAATATCAACATTCTTCTGAAATATTGGAATCGTAGTGTTTTGCTCTTCAGAAGCAATAACATATTATTATTTGACATAATAAATTCTATAAGAATTTACTTTTCAGAACTAGAAACATAATTTACGTTAAATCGTATTTAATAATACTCTTTAGAAGCAAGTAAAATCTAACAAAAATATCTGTCAATAATAGTATGATACTTCAAGAGCAATAATATATATTTTTAGAATATTAACAATGTTATGCAACATCGTGATACCAATAAATTATTTTTTAACAATATTAACTTTTCTTGATGATGTTTTCTAGACAAATATTAATATTTGCATAGTTGTACTTCTTAGGGAGTACTTTATATTTTACTATTGCTTCTTCAGCAGCAATAAATCAAACTTTATATTTTACTGTTATTTCTTCAATAGCAATAAACCAATATCTTTATTTGAAATTTTAAAAATTGCAATTAATCCTTTTTATGAACAATGTGTCAATATTTTTCTGGAATATTAATAATGTTTTGCTACTTTAGGAGTAACAACGAATTATGATTTAAAAACACGATCTCTTGAGGAGCATATTTTCTAATAGAATGTAAATATTTGTAGAATAGTGCTTCTTCAGAAGCAATAATATTCTTTCAGAATAGTAGTGTTGTGCTACTTCAGGTGCACCACAAATTACCTGTAATTGAGAGACATCATAGTACTAAAATTATAAGCTATAATATATGTTTTAAAAAATATGAACGTGATAATTAATCGAATAATAAACACGAAACAAACAATTAAATACACACATGCAATTTTTGATGAAACACAATAATCAGCATTTTTTTATTATGGAACAAAAATTATGGAATCAATTATCTGTTGCACGAGTATCAAATTTTGATTTGCCTATTGCATTAAACCTAGCTAGAAGGTTCATGATGATTAAAGGCGATATATTTCAACATTCCATGCTCCAGATACTTATCTTTTATTTCGTAAAAATTCCTATGTAAATTGGATAACTTGCGAGCAAAAGTCTAATCAGGAAACCTAAATATAATATATGCACGTGGCAATCAATTCACTCATTCAATGCCCCCTTTTTTCATAATTTTCAAAATGCATGTGTGCATGTATGTATGTATATATATATATATATATATATATATATTAAAAAAAATGTTACAAGTAAACTTGAATCTGAAACGGAATCGATGGTTTCAGTTCAAGTTTGATTCCAAAAGTTAAGTGGAATCATAGTAATTCCATTTATGAAAATATTCAACGTAACATGGATGGTTTTGAGTATTGAAATATCTTAACCAATCCACACCTATGCCCATATATATTGCTGTAGCTCTTTTTAAGTCACAATCAAATGGTTGGCCTATCATAATTGTCGCTTGAATAACTACCTATATGACTCACAAGTTTGAATAAGGGCAATTAGCAAAAAAGTCCTTACCTTTAAATGTTATTGTACAAAACGTCCCTACTTTTCATTTTTTTGCATTTTTACCCATATTTTCACATTTCATTGCATAAAACATAATTTTCATCCATTTTTTTGATTAAAAATGTAAAATGACAAATATATCATCCTATTTAAATAAAAAAGGAGAAGAAAAATTAAAGAATAAATTGCAGTTATACTCCCAAACTTTTCAAAAAAAACTGTAAATGAGTCCAAATAAATTATTAAAGGGATAATTAGCGTAAAACGTCCATACTGTTCAATATTATCATGCAAAACGTCCATACTTTATTTCTTTCTTTTTTGCATTTTCACCCTTATTTTCGCATTTCATCATGAAAATCATCATTTTCATTATTTTTTCAATTAAAAGTTGTGAAATGACGAATATATCCTCTTATTTAACCAAAACAAAATTAAAGAAAAGAAATATAAAGACCAAATTGCAATTATATACCCAAATTTTTCAAAAAAAGGACAAACAAATTTCAAATCAATAATTTAAAATAAAAAATAAAAATGATTTTTTAGTTATTTATTTGGAATTTATTTGTACTTTTTTGAACATTTTGGGAGTATAATTGCAAATTGTTCTTTATTTTATTTAAATATGATGGTATATTCGTTATTTTACAACTTTTAATTGAGAAAATAGATGAAAATGACGATTTTGACAATGTAATATGAAAATAAGAGCGAAAATATCAAAAAATGAAAAGTACAAATGTTTTGTACAATGATATTGAAAGATAAGAACGTTTTGTACTAATTAACCTTTAAATAATTTATTAAACTCATTTGCAATTTTTTTTAAAGTCTAGAAGTATAATTGCAAATTTCTTTATTTTTTTTTTATTCCAATAGGAAGGTATATTTATCATTTTACATTTTTTTTATATAGAGATATTATATGAAAATGAAATTTTCTACAATGAAAGGTGAAAATAGAGGTGAGAATGCAAAAAAAAAAAAAAAAGTAATGGTGTTTTGCACAATAACATTGAAATATAAGAACGCTTTGTACTAATTATCCTTTGAAAAACATTAAAAGGTTATTGCCGATGACTATGTCCTCTTCCATTGCCAATTCCATAGATATCGTGCCATCATATCGCTGTAGTAGCCAATCCACCTATTATGCTAACGTCCCAATCTATTGCAGTTGTCTTGTCTCCATAAACAACCGTTTACGTAGATGTACATCTTCATCAAGTAGCATCTTTGCTTCCATCGGAGTTTTCATGAATCTCATGTTACAAGTGATACTAAATTGATGCAATGGAAGGAACAAGAACGAAAGATCGACACCAAATAACTATTGAATATATATGGATACCCAAACTTTGAAGACGATTCCTAATTTACTGAATGGAAAATCGAATAATGAACATAGACGACAACATCGAGAAACTATCAAACAAAGTGTATTATCTATTCCAAAGTTTTGAGTAAATGTAAAATTAGCATATCTCTAGACTAGTTCTTTTGTCCTCTTTCCTTTGGCTACATCAAGATATAAAACTAGACATTCATATCCTTTCAAAGATTAGAGAAACAGATCTAAGGCTCGTTTTACACAATAGAATTTTTCTTTCACCATTTTCTATAAACGTTTTAAACGATTTTTTTGATGCCTAAAACTATTACAAAAAAAAAAAAATTAAAAAAAATGATAAATTCTTTCTTTTAACCTAATATCCCATGCCCTTCTAAGCATATGTCCCCTATACAATTTCAAAGTTAATAAAGAGCCTAGAGACGATAAGCAGACACATTGTTAGTTATTGGACTGCTACACTATTTTTACTTGGGCCATTGGTCTTGGACCTATTTGTTGTGGACCGGTTGGCCCTTTCCTTTTAAAAAATGTAATCTGGAACACGCTTTCATCCTTAAATTGGTGATGAGACCTAGTCTTAGACATGGTGTAATTTGTGAGCGTTGGATTTGATCTACTGAGGTGCCATATAAAAGGCACCCCTTGGCGTTGTTCGGACGAGTTTTGTGTGTGTATTGATTAGGATTTTCTGGATCGTCATTTTCTCTCTAGTCCGTTCTTAGTCTTTGTAAATCTTGAGTGGATTGTTGATGTACTGAGTATAAAATTTGTGAGATTGAATGTGCTTTATTATGGATAACGACTATGTGAGGCAAGAATTATTTCTTCGTATATTTGTATGCACCGTTTTTAGTTGATTTTAGTGATTTCAGCAATATCTCGTTGTAGACGCTCAACAGGCGAGTAGCATTTAAAATACATGAACATTAAGATTCGATAATGGGTGAAAATTCCTTAGTGTTGTTACCTTTAATTTTCTGAGATTTTGGTTCCAGCTAACTTTTTAATTTTTGAATGTTTTGTATAAACGGGAATTGGGACCAACATGCTACAAAATTAACCAAATTTCAAAATAATTCAAATATAGTTAAGGGCAATAATAGAATGCCAAAACAAGATTATCCTTCAACTTCTAGTCAAGGAATCGACCATGTTAAATTAGTCAAATTCTCTCAAACTTTAGTCAACAACGAACTAACATTTTTTAAGTCGGTAGTATAAATCTTTTCTTGACACTTTACCACATAAATAACTAGATGTTTGAGTGCTCAATACTATAAATCGTATCGTGATATATTTATTTTATATATCCTTATTCCAACTTGCAAAAGATATTGAGAAGTAGTTCTATTATTAACAAGGCATCGGTAGCACCATAATCTAGGTATAAGAAGCACTCACAGTACATTTTTCCCTCTGAAGTGCCACCTAATTATGAATTTATTCTTCAACTGTATAATCGAGACTTGAGCTGTCTTAACAATTACAAGAAAGAATAATAAAAATTAAGTGACAACATTGATGCGTCTCTTTTTCTTTAATGCCCCATCTAGTCTGACTGTTGTACTTTACATGCTTTTTTACCTATATCCAATGGGATTCCACAATTTTAGCAATTAGCCTAATTTCAACACAATCAATTACAATCTGAAAAGAAGAAATCAAGGGTAAAAATCCATCAGCTTGTAACTTCATCACGAACTTTTCTTTTTCTCGTGCCAAAGTAAATCGATCAAGTAGAAAATCCTTTGCTGATAAAGCAAAGAAACAAGCACAAATTCAGCCCTGAACTCAGTGTCTTACAATCACCACAACCAAACCACTCTATGCTTTCCCAAAAAAATGCCTAACAATTACAACAACAATTTACAAAAACAAGTGCCTATGAATGAAATTCAGGAATCCCGAGACACATCAGACACAATAGAGGCGTGTTCGGTGTGCAGTCTTCTTTAATATTATCCAGTACTGTCTAGTCGACCTTATCAACTATGCCATAAGAAACTGAAAGCATTTTGCCAAACAAGTTAACTAGGAACACACAATTGCTCAGTGGGAAGTGGAGATTCTACCACATTGTCTAAGGTATCTATATTTTGAATGACTGCAGATTTTAGCGATCCATTCGTTGCTCTTGAATCTTCTCCCTCTTCCGTGCTCAGGCAGGAACTACCTGTCTTGCTGTCGGATAATGGAATACAAGAATCCTCATTGAATGCAGAACCACCTCCAGGATGGACTTGCTCTCTAAACAAAATTCCTTCTAGTTGTTTTCGAAAGCCATTTTTTGCATTTTCATTCTCGTCCAATTGCCTTAAGAAGCATTCTTCTATCTCACTAAGTGATTCAACTTCGTCCCTGTCTTCACTGCTGGTGCTGTAATGGGGTTGCTCATCATCGTCATCAGATGCTGGTCCTGTTGATTCACAGCTTGTATCCATCTCTTGTTGGCTTTCATATTCCTCGTCTGTTCGTCCATTGGACGAACGTGATGACATTGGAGAGTATCCTCCCGCTGCTGCCTCTTCACGTTCTCTCAATGTTTTCATGATCAATGTCTTCAATAAGTTCATTACTTGAACAGCGTGCATAAGAGCCGTCAATGGATCTGACATCTTGATCAAACAACAAATATATAAGACTGCAATTAGATAATGAACTAAGGTACAGCACCTTTGGTAGGTAATACTGGACTGTCTTAAGACTTCACAACGGATACGATTATAGCTTCTTCTATTTTTCTCCTTTAGAATAGTCCACTAGACTCTAGAGTCCACCTCACCAAAAAGCCATAAAGATTCTGAAAGAAGTATTTTGGATGGTTTGTGGAAATACCTGAGTCATATTTGGGGCAAAAACCATAGCAATATTTCTAGCATTCATTTTGTTGAATTCCTCTTGTTCGACTACATCAGCCATGAGATCAATTGCCCAGTTGAGCAATGCACTCTCAGTCGGTTTCAGTTCTTTAATGAGCTCAACAGATTCCTCTTCTGTATTGCATTGTAACACTTGTTCTGGGGAAAGCCCATCAAGCACACCAGAAGGGAGTTCTCGGAACCAGGCTTTGATCAGACCGGCCAAAATATGGACATCGATGTTGTCAGGCACAATTCCTCTGTTGAGTTGGTCCCTAACATGTTCCTCTTGGCCATTCTCTGGATTTATCCGAAAAATCCCTTCTGCCTATAAAAAATTATTCCAAAAAGTTCAATCGCGGACCTCCTCAACATTATTTCCAATATCATTTAACAGAACACACAAAATACCACAGAATTTCACCATACCTTTAGACCGCTTTGCACGTATAATCTTTCTTGCATCAGTAAAAGTATAGTTGGGACACTATTGCCTCTTGTGTCATAAGAGCATTGCATTGATTCTGCTGATACGCCAAATACACTGACACTGCATAATTTGTAATTAAGAAACTCAGTACTCCAAACGAATTTTAGAGATTTAAGAACATAACTCCATAAGCAGGGGGAAAAAGAACAGAAAACACAATGGCTATCCATATTATACTGATGACAATGAAAGTCAGATGCTGGTAATATGGAAGTCATACACGGTAATATTAAGCTCCCGTTTGGTCTCCTTAATTTAAAATTCATTTTTTTCCAAACTCATTTTCGACCACACATTTTATGAGATCCACAATTTTTATCAACTTTTCAACCATATCATCATTTTTTCCTCAAAATCTATTAAAATTTTGACTTTTATCTAAACCAAATGGCGGCTATTAATTACTCAAGTAATTTTTGGTATCAAGTACTAGTACTAGAAAATACAATTAAAAGGATAAATTCTTGTACTATATAGTACTGTAAAGTCCAGGTTGCCTAAAGAACCAATAAAGTTCTCTTTCTGCCCTTAATTTCAAGGGCCCATGACAATAAAAGAACAGAAATTATCAACCTCATGATTCTTGTGTATTAGTTATATAGACCTATTACATAATTATGACAAGTCTAATCTACATTAATGTAATATTTGTAGGAAAAACAGCTGAATATAATGACAGGAAACTAATTCATTAATTCCGGGCAGGATGTTATGTTATACTGAGTAATCATTTTGTAATTAGGTTCAATTTTAGGGCAAGAGATAAGCACGGGTAAACACACTGTTATCAAGCTAAAGAAGGCAGCAATGTTTGCCAGAGTTCGTAGATCTGAACCACACTAAACGATAGTAACAGTAAATGTTTTCAAACAACATTATAGAAAGAAAACCAGATCCAAAAATTGAAAGATAAGATAGCCCAAAATACTGTAAATGCTTTCAAACAACAGTAAAGAACAAATCCCAGATCAAGAAATTGAAATTAATGACCCACAAAAAATAAAAATCCAAATGTTTCAAACGCAGGAAAAGGCAAAACCGATAGAAAAAAAATGAAGCAGGAAATTTTTGAATGCCAAGGAGATAGAAACAGAAAATGTTATCAAACAACATTAAAGTGTAAAACCAAGATCAAGAAATTGGATTTTAAGACGGCCTACAAAGAGCCATTTCGCTGGGTTTAAAAAACGACTTTTTGGGTGCTTTTCCAAAAATATTGCTTTTAACCGCAGCTAAACATGCTAAGAAAACAGCAGATATTTTCGAACAATTTTAAAGAACAAAACCCAGATCAAGAAAATGAAATTTAAGAAGAAAAAAGCTGATATTTTGATTCCTTTTGACAAACCTCGCACTGGGAGCTCTACATGGGATTTCAACTTCAAACTCAAGAGGGAGACCAAGAAATCCACGAAACCGATCGAAAGTGACATGGGTTATGTGTTGGACGTTTGTGGGCCACCCAATTTCCATTTGATGAACGGTGGAAATCATCTCTTCCTGCCTATCCACCCTGCACGACACCATGGATTTTCTTAAAGCCGATAGAAGAAAATCCAGCAAAGAGAGCTGCTGCTGGCGTTCCTGATTATTTTGCTCCTCAGCTGCAGCAGATTTTGGGCTCTTCCCATTTCCTACACCGCCTCCACATCCACCACCCCTTGTTACCATTACCATACCTGTCATTTTTCTCTCTAAACACTTCCCTTTCTCTCTCTCTCTCTCTCTCTACGAAATTGAACGGTTTCTCTCTCCCTAAAGTGCTAAGTATTGCATAAATTTGGAGCGATTTGTTTTGAAGATTGGTGTTTTTGTACGCAATGGCCAATGCATTAAAGAGCGACGATGGGGTGGGGGTCCGAGGGTTTTGAAGTTCGAATTCACTGTGCATTCAAACGGCCACAAATTTCAAATCCTTGTCCAGTGAACTTTATTCACCATAAGAACCTTGCATTTGGCTTATTATTTCAGTTATGCCACTGGACTCAGGTTATAGTTTATTTATTATTATTTTTTTAACGAGGTGTCCCAACTTGCACCAGACTATATCCTCGTCCCTGAACCTCCGGTTCCTCAACTACTTAGGGAGGTAAATCGCAGGATGTGCCCTTATTGGTTCCCAGGTTCACACATGACTTTTACTCCTTCCCCAAAGGAAGTCTCCTCTATGGTGATTAATCCACCAATAATTCCTCCTTTATTGGATCAAAGGTTCTCACCAGGAATCGAACTCCCCACGCTTGGTTCCAGAGCCCCCAATGTGATTGTTCCGCCAACTTGAATGTGCCCTGGGGGGCTCAGGTTATAGTTTATTGTTGGTCACTTGGTGGTTTCACCCAATTGGCTGATTTATTACCTAACTCCAACTTCGATTTATTTATTTTTTATATTTAAAAAATTAATATCCATTTATTTTTTTTGAAAAACATATCATATCGAAATTAGCTGAAAAATTGGAGAATGTAACCAGCATGTATATACATTGAATGTGCCAAACATATCAAATGTAACGTTTCATCTTAAATTCCGAAGTTTTTAAAACAAAAAATATTAAGTCCTGTTTGATCCCCATTTTGGGAAAATTTGGATTATGGAATAGTGATTTTTTGGAGAACGTGTGGTTAAAAATTGAGAAAATATTTTTGAAATACGTGTATTATTATTTTATGGAAGAATGTGTAGTTGAAAATGAAAATTGAAAAAATGTATTCTTGAAAAAATAGGGTTCAAACATGACCCAAGTCTTACTTTTGAAGATTAATATGTGAATTGTTTTTTTTTATTTGTTTATGTTCATTATTACCTTTATTTTTTTATCGCTTTGTATTTAATGTTGCATCAATTTTTATGAGACGAAAACTTAAATTTAACGTTTAGATTCCCATTTATTTTCATATGCAAATTCACTTTAAAATTCCTTGTGCATATATGATATATTTTATGCCGAACATGTCATTTTTTATTAGACGAAAGCATTTTCAATTACACATTGTATTGATATATATTAATCCTTTTTTATTAGACGAGAGAAATTAGAGGAATAAATAGTTTTATTTGACACCTACTTACAACTGGTCAAAATACTTTTTCATTCACACATTTGATCGTTCTAATCATTTATTCACTACTTCCTCTAATTGGTCAAAATACTTTTTTATTCACAGATTTGATCGTTTTAATCACTTATTTTACCACTTCTTATATATTTTTAATTTAACAAGATTATAAACAACTCTTAAACATGCTTATCTATATATAAACCTCAAGAATAGGGTTTACAAAGTTGGGTGGGGTTAGAATAGAAGGTTGCTTTTGATGATTTCGAGACCGTTGGTAAATTGATGATTACCGTTGGCTAAACTTCATATTTCCAACAAAAGCGCGCCTTGCAGTTTTCATGCCAAAGAACAAATTATAGACATCCTAATGTTTCAAGATAATATTCAAGATTTGAAAATATGTTTTTTCTTATTTTTAATTTAGATTAGAAAATTTATTTTTAGATCGAAGCATTTATGCACAAAATGATTACAACTCATTTTTCGTCGAAGGAAAAAAATAATAAAATTAATCCAAAATGTTGACCAGAAAAAGAAAAAGAAATATGTTCAGTGTTAGGAGGATTTAATTTTCTAATCTCAAATACCAAAATTTTTAGGAATATAGGAGTTTCTATAAGAGCTAGACATCTGAGGTGCTTCATTTACTTTGGATATCAATTTTTTTTTATTTAAATCTTTTCATGATAATCGTTTCCAAGGATTTAGTGCCAAGTTTTTTACCTGCGTACTAAGACCTGTAAAGGAAAAGAAACATATTGAACCCAAAAATTCCACGTCGTGAATTGTGTTCAAAATGTCAATGTCTGATCACTCGCGAACTCTCACATACCTTATTAGTTATCCTTGTATATTTTTTCATAAATGAACAAAATCGAATACTATTTAAAGCATAAATGAACAAAAATAAGTGGAAAGAGGATAATGAATAAAATGGTAAATAATTTTCAGCATACAATAATTCTTGCTTTAATAGAAAAATGTTTTTTCGATTGAAAACTTTAAATAAAGACCCCTTAGAAAAACAAAAACACTAGATACATAATATACATTATGAAGATTGGTATGAATTTTCATAATCTTCTTATTCATGTAGCATGAATTATAATTGACGTGACACTTGAAAGACGATAGTCTAAAAACATAAAAGTTTATAGATGAGTAAAATAAGTGATTTATACTCTTTTGAATACATATAGTTTGATAAATTGTATTAAAAAGACATTATGCTGCATTTTCTGCGACAAATTATTTAAACTTTTTCTTCGATAATTTAATTTAAATATGTTTTCTATATTAAATTAAAACTGGTTTTGAGTATTAATATGTATAATTAATATGAGTTAGATAAGAATCCATTAAGGAGAAACCGGGAAAAAATGGTTAAAAAATCCTCTTACATTGTGAATTTGTCTATCGAAGTTTTTTATTTTTATTTTTATGATTGAAGGTGAAACGCCTTTTGTTATTGTTCTCCGATATGGTCCGTTCAAAAAATGATTATATTATTTGCGATGCTAATTCTGTCATATGCCAAAAATCTTTCTATGGGGGTGTTCGAGAGCCATTTTTATGTAAAAATGCATTTTAGAATAATAATTTGATGAGAAGTGTGTGGTTGAACAATAAAGAATTTTTTTATTTACGTGTAATATTATTTTAATAAAGAATGTGTGGTTGAAAAGAACAGAAAAAAATACATTTTAAAAAAAATGGATATCAAACGGGGGCTATTTTTCTGTCAGCGTCACGCATATGATTACATACTTTTTAACACTTTGAGTACTAAATCAAAGTTGATATATGAAATCAAATACGGTTAAAATAAAAAAAATAAAAAAAGGCCACAAACAGATAAATTGCACTTCTTTAGTCATTGTTTGACCCTCATTTTTTCTCGCGAAAGCATTTTCAATTACACATTGCATGGATTTATAATTTTATTAACTTTTAATCACATTTTGATTATTTTTTTATTAAAATACACTAGAAATTAATTTTCAAATAAACTAAAATGTTGTTATGTGTATGTTTGAGTCACATTATTTTGAAAAAAATGTATTTTTAAATAGTAGATTGATAGAGAATGTGTGGTTAAAAAATATTAAAAATATTTTGAATTTGCATATAACATTATTTTATTGAAAATTGTGTAGTTGAAATAATGTCAAATTACTATTTAAAAATGTATTTTTCTGAAAAAATATGGCTTAAACAAGGCCTAGGTCATTTTTACAAGTTGGTAAGTCAAACATGAATAAAGCCACTTGTCTAGGTTTTAAAAAAGAGGAGTAAAGAGACAGATTGATGTGTTAGAAAATGATTAAATATTTTTGTTCTAAATTTTTAAATTTTTAAATTGTCCAATCATACGTCGAAATATATTTTATTTGAATTTGAATTTTAACTTGAACTTGGACATATATCGTGATTAATCAAACATAATAGTAGCATGTATGAAACCAGGAAATGGGGATTCCAAAGATTTTTTTTGGTCCCCACATTGTCTTCGTATTCCATGTAATTTCGTTCCCGGTTAATGTCCAAGAATTAAGGATTGGAAAATTGTCATGGGAATCAGGTTTGGATTCAAGGGTCCCACAACTTTTTTGGTGTTTGGTGTGTGTCTCCCTCCAAAAGTCATTCCTATTCAAATTCAAATCCAAATCAACTTTTTTTAAGTTGATCGTTGGGTTACATCTTTTCAGCTTACTTTTCTGTCTCATTTTAGAATCCTCTTTCAATATGTCTTCCATTGGCCTCCCCCCCCCCCCCCCCCCACAAACCCTTTTTTTTATTTTTTTTTATTTAGGTATTTTAGCTTACACCAAACTAAATCCTAAACCTCTAAGACCCATGCCCCTAGAACCTTGGAGGGAGTAAATCACGGGTTATGTTTCAACTGAATCATAAGATTCCTCATTGACTGTACACTTCTGTGCACAAGAGATCCTCTTTCACAGTGATTGCTCCATACCAAATTTTTGGCCGTAGGTTCCCACCAGGAATCGAACTCTCCACCCTGTCGCTGGAAGCAAGCCAATGTTGATTGATCCACCAGTTGAGCTGTACCCCGGGGAGCAATCCATTGGCCCGATTTTTCATTTTTGATAGGATATTGCTTGTTTCTGTAACGTTCAATATTGAAAACAAATTGTAAGTTGATCCTCAATCAAGCCCTTGTTCGAGCCTTATTCTTTTGATAAGAATGAATTTTTGAATAATGTATTAATGGAAAATATGTTGTTAAAAAATAAAGAAAAATTTTAGATTTTTGTGTAATATTATTTTATTAAAAAATATGTGATCGAAATGATGTCAAAAATACTGTTTAAAAATGTATTTTTTTTTCAAAAAAAGAGAATCAAATAGGGGCCAAAGAAACAATACTTTATTTTATCATCAACAATGTTGTAGCTGATTTTGATGATCCTAAATTTGATAAGATAGTAATCGAAAGATGAAAAAAGTAATTAAAAAAATTAGTGTGCACGAAAATTCATATCTGACTACTTTTCTAAAAACAATCAATGGTGAAGAAGCCAAAAGGACTCGCCTCTGTTTGCTCCATTGGCTAGGGAACATGGTCTCTATTCAATTTATATGTATTTTCAAATAAAATCGTATTTAAAAAACTCCGCCTCCCAAAAATCATGGACGGAGTAGGGACAATTTTTTAAGAGTTATCATGCTCAAACACGGGCCTTGGACAGGCCCTGTCACTGTAGAATGGTTCATTTTTTAATTAATAAAGCTGTAGGTACAGGATATTTTTAACAGAAAGCCTACAGATTTTTAAAAATGATGACCTGGCATTAAAATAAAA